ATTCTTGCACTTCTCATACCTTAAAGGCGTGAGAAAAGTTTTTGGTCAGGGGGGATCGTCAATGTACATCTTGGTCGGGATTCTCGCATTTCTCGCGCCTTTCTAGTCAAAAAGGCCATGAGAATGGGGTCATGAAGTACTATCTTTGCATCAATTTACGCCGGATTAATCGTCACCTCTGCAAAGTGGGTTTGCGGTATGCAAAATTAAGGGATTTCGGTCCCTTGCTCAAAAAAGATGATTTTTTGGTTGGGTTTGATATTAAGAATGCATACCATCATTTGCGGATGTGTTCTATGGACGAATGTTTTTTACAAATCTGTATGGGCGGCGAAGTTTTGCTTGCCGTACTCTGCCAGTTGGCTTGTCTTTATTGCCTTACTTTTTTACCCATTTCATGTTGGTGGTCACAAGATTTTTTCCTAGCGGGGAATGACTCCATCCGGCGGTATTTCTTGCATTATACCCGTGAGGACCCTGCCATCTTGTTGGCCTATGTCAATGATTTTCTAGCGGCAATAAGTAATCCCGCCAAATTGCGCCAATGGTCCCCATTGATGTGGGAGATTTTTCAAGCATTAGGGATTCATTTTAAGGACCACAAATATCAGTGGAGCCTGGTGCAAAGCAAGAGGCATCTTGAGGTGGTGATCGACACCAAGGCTTGTGGTTTTTATGTTGCTTCAGACAAATCGGTTTTTATTACCAAATGGGCTTGGATCCTTAAGGAACGGCTCTGGATAGTGGCCCAGGATCTCACTCATTTTTGCGGGTAGGTCATCTTCCTTTACTTGGCCTTCCCTTTGGCCCGATTTTTTTTGCAAGGCCTTTATGCGGTCCTCCGCACCAAGCGCTCTTGGTGGGATCGGCTCCGATTGTCGTCCCAGGTGTGGCTTGGATCCTTCGGGAACGGTGCTGGGTGGTGGCCCGGGATCTTTCTCATTTTTAAGGGCAGGCCATCTCCCTTTACTTGGCCTTCCCTTTGGCCTGATTTTTCTTGCAAGGCCTTTATGCAGTCCTCCACACCAAGCGCTCTTGGCGGGGTTGGCTCCAATTGTCGACCCAAGCATGCCTCGATTTGAAGGCTTGGATCAGTATCTATTGGCGCGAGGGCTGCCCCTTAATCCTGATGCAATGCCATTCGCAGGTACCCTCGCAACAGATGCTTCCTTGAGGGGATGGGGGCCTGCTTTCACTCCCCCCTCATTCAGATCGGCCGCAGTTAGCTAGGGTTTTGTTTGAACGATCGTTGATGCACATTAGTGTGCGTGAATTGTAGGTGGTCACCCTAGCTATTCGGGCATTTTCCCAGGTCGATTCCCCCTCGATCTCAGCCCAGCTGTGGCTACTAGTGGATTTGCAGGTCGTCCTTTCTTGTATCCGCAGTATGACGACCGGTTTTGACCAGCTGCGGCGTCCACTCTGCCAATTGTAGCGGATTTGTTCGGCCCGAGCATTATTGATCGATCCAGAGTACATCCCGTCCAAGTTCAACATGATTCCCGACCAACTTTCGCAGGTCCAGAGTGGTGGGGACTACTGGCTCAACCCGTCCATCTTCCAAACGATTACATGAGAGTTCAAACCATGGACCATCGACCGTTTTGCTTCCTAGTGGAATTCCCTCTGCCCCAGGTACAATTTGCGGCATTACGACCCGCTTTCAGTGGAGGTGGATGCATTCCTCCAAAAGTGAATGGGCGAGGCCAATTGAGCCAACCCACCTTGGTCACTTCTCCCGCACCCAATGGCATTCCTGACAATATGCACGGATGTGGAAGTAGTGGTCTTGGCCCCGGATTGGCCGTCCGCCATGTGGTTCCTGCAGCTCCGTCGCCTTGCCTCACGGGAGATGGCCATTCCCCTCTGGCCGGGCATGTTGACGCCGGGGGATCTGGCTCTTTTGGCCGTTCTTCCTCCCCCTCGGTGGAATCTGCGGGCGTTCCACATTTAACCATGGATTCGAAGCAAGAATCGGAGGCAGTGACGCTGCTTTCCCCCCCAGGATCGCCGGTGGCGGATCCACTCCTGGTGGAGGCCATGCATGCCAACCATCCCTCTTCGGTTGCAACGTGGACAGGCTTTCTTCTCAGATTGGTCATGGATACAAGCCCAATTCCTCTCGTTCTACACGGAGTCTGGGCGGCAATCGATGCAATCCAAGTTCTCCAAGTTTGCCTCCTTTTGTGAGGAGAACGACCTCGTGGCGCTCCCCGCATTGCCATCTTCGATCTAATGCTACATCCACTTTTGCGCGAGGAGGGATGCATTGGAGTCCGCAGCCTTCCCCAATACCTAGCCGCGATCTCCATGGTGCACTAGTCGATGGGCCACATCAATTTCTCTGCTTTCGATCCCGTCACCCGGAGGCTCACCAAGGCGTGGAGGCGCCAAGAACCAGAACCAGCCTATTCCCATCGCTTGGTTCCTATGAACATCACGCAGACCATCCTGGACATTGGCTTGACTATAGGGGATCTGCACCTCCTTCGCGTGGCTTGCTTTACGGCCTTAAATTTCCTTTTCTTCAATTGGATGCAGAGCGGCCACCTTATTCTCCTCGAGGACATCTGCCTTGAGAATGGGGTACTTGTCTTTCGTGAGCGGCGGATCAAGCTCAGCGCCAATACTGACCCGCGCATGCACTGCGCTCTTGGCCATCCTGCGGAGCGCCGGCGGTGGTGGATCTTTTCCTTCACTGGTCAGCGGCCCATGACATGGCATGGGCGGATGCCAACTCCTCTCCTAGCCATTACTATACCTTGCCAGGGGAAGCCGATCCGTCCACGCGGATCGTCTCCAGCTGCTTCCCCGCCCTCCTGCGCGCCCTTCCCTCACCCCCGCTAGAAGCCTTCAATCATTATAGCCTTCATGCGAGCGGCGCCAGTGCCTACTACTCCCTGGAGGTGCCGGAGGGGCGCATACGTACGTGGGGCGAGTGGCACAGTAACGTTATGTGGAAGTACATTAATGTGTACTGGCTACCGTCGGAGTGGGACACCGGCTTTTTGGATGGATGACAATTATTGTGCACGATCTGCACGCGCAGTACGGGCACACCTTCTGCCCCGGAGGGGCGTCATCGGCCCGAGTGTGACCAAGGCATAACCATGCCTTCGCTCCCGAGGAGTTGCACCGTGCCCCAGTGTGAATGGGCACGTTCAAGTGGGTCGCCATTTGGGTCTTGTAGTAGTTAGGTGATGGACACCAATTGGTGTCAGTTGGCATAGTTTGCAAACTGTATGAGTGTAATGTATTGTCGTGTGGGGAACACGGGGTGTGTGTATGTGTGTGTGGATTGAAGGAGACCGGTATGGCAAAAATATAATTAACTATCCTATTAATGAGTTTCTGCCAAGGACGACATTGGGTGGGAGCGTAACGGCCAGTTTGGGCCGTTCTGCCCTTTGGGCTAGTTTCAGGGCCATCACTAGGCCGGTTTCTGTCAACCCCTATACTTGGGGTCAGTTCCACCCGGTGGATCCAAGGGCAAATGAGTGAGCCTTGTACCTTGGGCATAGCCAAGGGGACCGGTCGAGCTGGCCCTTGGGTTTGGCGGGGACTTTGGCGGCAAGTGGGAGCGCTATTTTAGGCGCGACCCTTGGCGCCCCCCTTATCTTGTTTCGCACCCGCCCGGCCCACCCTAGTAGAGTGAGTTTCGGTTCGCTGTGGGAAGGAGAGGGAGTTGAGTACGAGAAAAGGGGAGCTAACTCTGGGTTGAGTCACCATCAGGGTGGCATTGAGTACTAAGCGCAGCGAGGGCACGTTCAAGTGGGTCGCCAATCGGGTCTTGTAGCAGTGAGGTGATGGACACCAAACTGTATGAGTGTGATGTATTGTCGTGTGGGGAACATTATGGGGGGGAGGGGGGAGGGTTCAAGGAGACCGGTATGGCAGAAAGCAAACACTCTTAACCTGCAGAACTACCACAAGGACACAAGCGAACGAGGTGGAGAAGTGATAGGCATCGTGTGGCGTTGCGAACAGGCCAGTGAAGCCATAGCTCTACACACGCAATTCACACTATGAAGCGGCATTGGCGGGTGCCTGCCACCACACACACACTCGTGTACATTTAAAACTTGGCTCAGCCAGCCGAACAATTGCAGAAGCACAACGAAATAGCGAAAACCCATTTCAAACAATTCTATTCTGCACTTGAATTGCAGTAAAATCGCGCATCAGTAATGTGCCATGCATGAAACTGGACCAATCGTGTGACTGCATTTGTATCATGCCACAGTCACTGGCGACCAGCAACTAGGAAAGGCGTGCAGCTGTCGCCAATGATCTTGTTAACCTAGTGTCCAGCCGTTACGTGGGACGGCGATGCACCCCCCATGGTAAAAACATCCGCATGCACCATCCCATACAGCGCTTATTTCTCCTCCGCCAGCACGGCAGTTAACGCCATTTGCAAGAGCTCTAGAACTGCTGCTGGTCCCAAGTACCCATTTCCCCTCAAGACTACACAACAGAAAGGAGGCATGGCATAAACGTGGCCACTGCCACTGCGGAATATCCTGGCGCTGCAGCGCAGCGTAATTCTAGGGGTTACTACTTCAGCGATGCGTTTACATCGGCTGCCCTTCAGACTGGCGATTTGCTCACCCTTTGCACTTCCCAAACACGCCTCAACTCATCATATTCCAACAGCCAAAATGAGCATTACACCGATCCAAAGGCTTCCAGCCCATTCCACATGGCAACTGCAGTGCCTGAGAATCCACACACACACGCACACGCACAAAACCTACCTACCAAATGCCCCCGCCCACGTTCTTTGCAATCCTTGAATTCTTGATGGTTTGGTTCGGGCTCTCAAAACAGTTGAGGTCTGTCAACGCAAGCCGCCAGCAACCTGACCTTAGGCTGGCCGGCGCAATAGCACTATCAATTTCTGAGAACTGCGCTCACAGGACTAAAGCACCATAAGAGCACTGCGGAATGTTGCGACCAACGCCTGATGCGGTTCTCTTGGGTCTGGGCTGGCAACCAGCTCAGCCCATCATCATTTCATCAGTGTTGTTCGCCTCCATAAGGATTTCGACAATGCTTTCCACTGTCTGCAGCCACCATCAGACAAATGGCGCTTTCAATGGCGCACCCCAGACGTCAGGAATTGTCTTCTTTCCCTTTCGTTGGCTTCCCATGGCGCACTTGTGGAGGGCTACAATGCTTCGACATCAGATCATGGTTCACGCACAGGTCGACAAAGGTAAAGACGGGCACCACAATGAGCACTCCCATGGCGCACTTGTGGAGGGCTACAATGCTTCGACATCAGATCATGGTTCACGCACAGGTCGACAAAGGTAAAGACGGGCACCACAATGAGCACTCCCTCCATCAACAAACAGAAATGGAGAATATTTTGAGTGGAGGATATCACATGGCATAAGCGAACAAATAAGACACAATCGCAACGTCGCTTGGTTGCCTGCGATCCACTGTTGCTGAGCCAGACAATACCCAGTTGAGACACGCTGAGGGCAACAGAGCAGTTTGGCTATTTTGCAAACGAACCCATCACCTGAAGAACAACCAAAAGGGCAGTACGCAGTCACCACAGAGCACAGAACTTCAGGCAAAGCACCATTCTCAATAAGATATCGCAGGATCTCGTGCAGAATTGCCCCATCGGGCAAGGGACAGCCCCTCACTATGTTGGTTCAGAAGTGGAGTGCCCTTTTTAAGACTCAATTTCTTTCCTGTTTAAAGGACAGCCTTTGGCAGGAGCTCTCACCTGCAGGCCCTCTTCGGGCCGTTTCGGGTAGTTGGGTTTGTCCGCACCAGGGGGCAGGTGGATCTGGTACCACGGATGGTTGATGATGCCCTCCACAGTGATTCTCTTCTCCGCAACTGGCTCAAGGATCCTGCCCAGCAAATCAAGGGCGCCAGCAGACATGTTTGACTCCTTGGGTACATTCCAATCGCCCTTCACGATCCGCTGCAGAAAAAAGATTCAAAAGATTTAGCACATTGCACGATGAGATTAGCATACTGTGTGTGCCCACACACGATATGCTGTGGCACGCAGGGTCAGACTCCAACAGTCCACAGGAAATGCTGGTTGGTAGTTGGGGCAAACAAGTGTTGAGACAAGGCGACCAGAAGTTTTATGTTGCCCACCACAGACATTGTAGTTTGCGCTGTCTGTGTTGCAAATGAGAATCGTGCAACATCTTCCACCTGATGGTAAAGCATAACTGACAGTTCTTGCTCTGGAGCGATGCCTGTCATATGGCATGTTTCCGGTCACCTGATATCATGTCAATCTGTACAACCTGTTGCAAGCAAGATCCTGGCAAGTTATTGCATCAGGCAAGACAAGCGAATCTGGAAATCCTGAGTGTGCGTGTGTGATTGCATCACCTCCATCAATGACAGCATGGCCACCTTCGGGTCGAGACCCCTGTCCTCTGGTCTTTCAAATGGGAAAGATCGGAACAGCATGACGTACAGCATGACCCCACAGGCCCAGACATCGCAAGCCTGGCGTGACCATACAAGCGGTAAACCAGTAAGCACCAGCCGCCATCAAATGGGAAAGATCGGAACAGCATGACATACAGCATGACCCCACAGGCCCAGACATCGCAAGCCTGGCGTGACCATACAAGCGGTAAACCAGTAAGCACCAGCCGCCACCAAAAGCGATCACCAAAACCCCCAAGGTATTAAGCAAAAACACACACACACACACACACACACACAACACATGCAAATAAAAAAAAATACGATGCAAAGGTACTGTCTTAGAAAGATAATCTTTCCTGACTACCTATTCTGATAGTGCAGTAGCAAATACGATGCAAAGGTACTGTCTTAGAAAGATAATCTTTCCTGACTACCTATTCTGATAGTGCAGTAGCACGTGAGAAGTGCTGTCCTGCATCTATGCGATGCCATCAGACACCCACATCCTCCACAGGGCCTTGCTCGGTTGTGTACTCGACAAAAGCAACACATTAAATGACACCCTCCGCAGCTGTTTGTTCCCAGAGTGTCTAGGGTTCGTTACCAGCATCGAACAGACTGAGTACCAGTGGACCTTTTCTTGCATTGGCTGGATATTGTGTCCAACAAACCTGCAATGCAAGTTGGCAATGGAAACAATGCTTGAGGACTCAACAGTCTATCACAGCATCATAACAGACTCAATAGACTCACACCTACTACAACTCGAATAAAAGACCTCCTTCTTGGGGCCCTACAAACATCAAAGGTCCGCAAAATCGCAGCTTTGTCTATTAAGAGCACACCTTCCCATCGTAGGTGCCCCCCTTCCGCATGTTTATGATCTCAGGCGCCAAGTAGTTGGGGGTGCCAACGCGTGTCTTGCACATCGAATCGTTGTTGTCCTGCTTGATGACAGTCCAACACATAAAAGTTGGCAAACAATTCTTCACAGAAACAAGAATTTGTAGTTACTGTCGTTCCCATCTTCTTTTTCCTAATTTTCATGTGACGTTTTGTGTGTCCTGACACAGGCAGCAGAAAGAACAATGCCCCATTCTGTTGCTGCCATAGCGCAGATCTGCTCCCAGGGCATACATAGGTCAAAGAATCCATTGAAATGTCACCCACCCTAAGTATGTAAAAACAGGAGGCCTGTGCATGGCAACGACAAGCATATAATGTGCTGTGGCAAGTTGGTGGCTCTCTTTGTATGTTTCTGCACGAACAACTGGAACAAGGTTCAAAAGAGCCCTAACTGCCAACATTGGCCAGAGTGATGTTCCACCACACCTTTATTCCTGATACGTGATGGCATGAATTGAACAGACAGAACCAAATCTGTACACATGATATCAGGCAACATGGGAGCAACAGGTGACTGAGCACCTTAGACAGTCCAAAATCGCATGACTGAGCACCTTAGACAGTCCAAAATCGCACAGCTTCAGAAGTTTCCTGTCAGCATCCAATAGCGTGTTTTCAAGTTTGATGTCTCTGTTGGCCACTTTCTGCAACAAATCAGCAGCACAGGAGTCAGACAGCTGACAGTTGCCAATTAAAGCAATGGAGGCTCAAGGGGAGGACCCTGCCATATTTTGGAGAACATCTTCCAAGAGGATGGGCACATAAACCTGGCAGTGCACAGACTTGCTGAATTGACAGTCCTGGACTGGGAGTATTAGTTTTAAGCTGGCAGCGGGAAGCAACACAAGCAGAAATAATGAACATGAACATGCATTCCGTGTCTGCCATGTGGATGCAAGATGCTCTCAAGCTGCAGACAATTATGTTGCATATGATTTCAAACCAGATGTGCATAGTAGCGTGAGGCAGATCCTAAGAGTCCCTCGTCATCAAACTAACAATTCCGAATGTAAACATTTCCCACAGATACTCCTACAGAAAGGTATGCGATTCTGTGTCACAGTGACAGTTCCGAACGTAAACATTTCCCACAGATACTCCCACAGAAAAGGTATGCGATTCTGTGTCACAGTGACAATTCCGAATGTAAACATTTCCCACAGATACTCACACAGAAAGGTATGCGATTCTATGCCACTGTGACAATCGTGATGGGGAAATAGCAGATCAACGGGCATCAAATTACAAACTCAGGCATCATCAGACTCGAGGCAATCAACGAAAGACTTAAGAGGGCAGATTCTGTTGAAAACTGGGATGGAGCAGAGTTGTAATCGTATGCATGTTTCCAGACATTACCCTCCTCCTAATACGTCAAGGAAAGAGTGCACGCGCTGTTGGTGCAGGAATGGACGCTGTGTAATAACTTTGTGCTCGAATTCTACTCGCTATTGTCCTCCAACCACGGCACAACTTGGTCCTTGAATATTGCAGGCTGCACCAGGCATGATTCCACGCGCAGAATGGTCCATTTTTGTTGATTGGCCCAACACTGAGCGGCTCTTGCCCATCCGCTTGGCCAGGGACAGCGGGAGAAACTCACCATGTGATGGCAGTATCGCACTGCGAAGATGAGCTGCTGGAAGAAGAAACGCGCCACGTCCTCCGTGAGCACGTTCTTCGCCAGGTAGTGCGACAGGCTGCCCCCGGGGGCGTACTCCATCACTATGCACACGTACAGGTCCGTCAAGAACACCTGCGCGCGGCACACGCCGTCATACTGTCAACGCCCAGCGTGTGACCGCTCTTGACCAGCGAAGACAGCATATCTTCACGCCGCCGCGGCGCGAGCGCCCATCGCTTGACGCGATTATCCTCGCACTTGATCGACAATGCTCACACCGAAATGGGGAAGGGGGGAACAAGCAGGGGGCATTATTGACGGCCCGTGCAGTCAGCGGCGCCGGCAATGGTCAGCTGCGTCTGTGGCGGCAAAGCACCTCTCTTTTGTCCGGTGTTAGACTGAAAGGGCACCGTCCGGGACGCTGGGCGCCATCTACTCCGCATTCAGCCGTCTGTACGACGCGTGCCAGCGACAAGACAAACGCCGAACTAAACGCATGCCGACAGTCCCTGGGGAGTCTCGACCCACCTCGTAGAACTGGATGACGTGCGCGTGCCAGAAGGGCCTCATGTTCAGCAGCTCTCTCCGAATCTTTTCGCTGGACTGTCGGGCCACGAGCATGAGCGTCAGCAGGACGCGCAGGGTCCAGAGTGCGAGGCGCAGCCAACCAGGCAGCACACCAGGCGCCGCAGGGCTCAGCATCAGCTCCATCAAAGCCCGCACTTTCGCCAGCGGTCACCCCAGCGCCAGCGCCGTCAGCGCTCGTGCGCCCCCGCCCTCCGCAAACCCTTTTCCGTCCCCCCCCGGCCCTCCGCACTCACCGCCAGGCCCCTGCGCAGGAACTTGATCGCCACGCGCTCGCCCGTGAACTTGTCCGAGCACAGCAGCACGAAGCCTTGGGAGCCCTTGCCGAGGTCGCCCACCTGCCCCGTGCAAACGCCCATCAGTCATCGACCGCGCGCCTCACATCAGGATGCCATCGCCAGCCCGTCCACGCTCCCATTCTACCGCCGCGCGCCCCTCGTCGCCACCACCGGCCGCAGAACAAATGGGACTTCCGCCTCAGCGACATCATCGCGCGCGAAAACATGCCCGGCCGTCACAGGTCGTCGAGCCATGCCCCCCAAACCTCCAAAAGGGGCCTAGATTTTCGCGTCCGCTCCCTTTTTCGCGCGCGGCTTTTCTGACGCAATTCTCGTCATGTCGGCGACTACGGTCCGCGCCCCGCGCCCTCACCTTCTCGTATCTCGGATGCCCACTCAGCGGGTTGGGCAGCGCCTCACCACCCCCGCTGGAGCAGGTCTCCACCAGCTGGCTGAAGGAATTCCCCGGATTCGCCATCGCGCTGCGAGCACGCTATCCGAGGGTGGAGGCCCACGTGCCGCCACCTGCGGCCCACGCGCGACGCGCAAGGTCACGTCACGAAGGAGCTCCACTGGCCGCAGAGGGCAGATCGGCGACCCGCCCCACGGCAGCGCCGCGCCTGAGCCAGGCCGGCGCCAGGGCGCGACCACCGCCAAGGTAGCCCCTCTCGCGGGCCGTCGGCAGCCCCCCTCCCTGGCGCCGTGGTTTGGCGTGCTGTCCCTCGACCCGGCTCGCTCCCTTCTTGTAAACCCCCTACCCCAGCCCACCCCGCATTTCATTTTTTGGGCCGCAGCGGCTACTGGCAAGTACTGCTCGGCGACCTTCGCGCCGGCAGCGCCCAAAAGTGACTGAGCGCCCCCTGTGGTGTACAATGACCGCCCCGCGCACTCCCCCGTGCGTCCCAGGCCCTCACGTCATGCTCACGGATCTGCTGTGACCACCTTCATCGCCTCCGCCCGTTTTCGCCGTGCAAGTTTGGGACGCGGGAGCGCCCAAATCTGTGGATGCATTCAGTGGATTCTCTGCTGCATGGAGTGACCGCAGGCCGGACGCGACTGTCTGGCAAGGGGGGGCGGCCTTCAGCACGCCGCGCGGGGACTTGCAGCGCGTGTGAGCGCACCCCCCCCAGAACCTGCGGAACTTCGCACGCGGGGTGTGACACAAGAGTTGCCTGCGGGCAAAGGTGTGACCATTGGTGGGGCTCGCGGAAGGGATGCTCACCGCGGCGCGCACGTGTCTGGGCACGCGCTTGGCCAGCGAGGCGACGGGGCAGGGGCGTCCCGTTGATGACTACATTTACGGTGGGCATAATTTGCGGATGGCTCGTAAGCGCCTCGCCACTAATCTGGAACGGTTTTGCCGTGATTTCGTCGTGGTCGGCGCACTGCTACGGGTCGCCATATAATTGATGCTAATGTAAATCTTCACGGGAATGGATAAATGTCACTCGGGCCATATGGAAGGGCAAACGCTAATTGTGTGCACGGTGTCAACCGCCTCATCGTCCATCACGCAACAGCGCATTCTCTGCACGGAAAAACCAATGTCACATTTGGCTGCCCCCGCGCGGCTGCTGGCAGGCATGCTCACTGCTGCGTTTTCCCCCATTGACCAGATGCTTGGGGCAAGCCGGTCAGCCCGGCGAGATGCAAACCCGCAGGCCGCCAGAGGCGCAAATCGTCTTACAGCAAAAAGTAAAGCATGGCATGTAATGGGCATCCTCTGCCCACAGAAGAAAGAGCAGAAGGAGTTGAAGACGATGCAAAAGTCTCCCAGTGTAAGGGATGACACTATTTTGAATATGGTACGGCTGGCGTCAATGTGACGCTAAGCTCAGAGCCCCCCCTCCCCACCTCCTTAGTTTAGTGTCAATCCTTATTTCGCTACTAGGATGACTCAGCAATACTAACTAACATGAGATATCTGTCACTGATCAATAGTGTTTTTTGCGCATCTTCCCACCTTATTTTGATTAGTGCAATTACATAATCTCTTATCTTCAGTGGCTGGACCCCTCCCCCCCTAACGTCAATTTGACGCTAAGCATAACAAATTGAAAATATTGTCTTCCCTAATAGCGACAGCGCTCAAAACAACAACCGGACCAGAAGTGCTCTGTTTTCAAGGTTTGGGTCCGATTCACGAAGATATGCAGACCCTCAGGCGACTACCTTTTGAAAGGCTACGTTTTTCAGCAACGATGGTGCCCGGGATGAAATTTCGCGGACCTGCTCTTGCAAGATTCTCTGCATCTGCAAACATATTTCCCGCGAGCAGCAGGAGTGAGTGAATCACTTCCATAACAATTGCGCATTCTTGTGTTCCTGTAATTCCCTAATCTTTGAATAGCATTCATGCCCCTGACGACAGGGCAAGCAGCCATTCGTCCCAGAATTCTGGCAAGGTATTAGAAAAAGACTCCATCGTGGCGGCATTGAAGTCCCAATGAGTGAGTTATCCTTGGAAAACTTGCAAGCGTAATGTGGAGAGCATACTGCAATGTAGCTGAGCACTGATTCTGGACTCACAACAGCCAGGGACGTGCCTGGACTCCTTTTGACTTTGGCTGCCATGAAGTCGAGACTAATTTTCAGTAGATTTGGTTTGCACCGTAAATCTACTGGTCAGGCCAAATCCAATGTTGCCTCATTGAATGCACTGAGGTACATACAAGAAATGCTTCATTTACAGATGGAGCCATTCTACATTCATTGGAAAAGTGCCCACAAATCCCTTTATGACGATCCATCTAGAGATTACGACACAGGCGTCTTCCAGATAATTGCAAGCGCTTAGAGCCAGGAAAATAGTCAGTGCCATTTATTCACGACCCTCCATCGAGGGTGGTACACAACTCGCGGGCAGGCCAGTTTCTGCCCTGAATTCAACTCAGGGCCAATATACAGTGCCCAAGCAACCGTGTACAAATAGATCAGCTCTCTTTGCAGGAGATGAATCTCCTTGTTGCTTTCCTCTATTTCTTGCTCCCCAAATTTGCATCAATGGTAGCATACTCGAGTCTTCAGGTGCAATGGCTCCTGTGCTTAACACAAAGACCACTTGCTGGTCTGATTCAAAACTGATCCAGCAAGCACAGCGGTGATGCATTATTGCGCAGCATGCTTGCCAACTCGTCACTTGCCTCGTTACCAGTATCGCGCACTTCTTGCATACAGTGCTTGCATTCCAACCTGCGATCACATGTTCAATGTACTGATGCGGCCCATGGTTCCCACAGCAACCGCATGAGCCACGCGATACATAAACATCGCGATGTCGTGTCTGTGCATGAAAATGCGCTGTTGCCGACCGCGCGTCTGCCGGCAAATGCAGCTGCAGGACACCGGCACTCGCAGCCCTGTTTCGAAACATGGAAAACGGCGCGAATAGGTTGCAAAATGCAAAAAATGCATCTCCGAACCCGCCCAGTCACTGCGCATAATGTACGGTATGGGTACAGGCCCCAAAACACCCTCCCAAATCCCCGCCGCTCCCTGCGCCTCCAGTGTGACACGCGGGACAGTCCCCAGCGGCCTTCCGCCCGTCTCCTCTTTCGGGGCGCGCGACCGGCCGCCTCTGCCGTGCAGCCAAGCCCCAGTCGCCCAGCCCCTTCCCCAGGCACCCCTCCGCCCCCCACGCTGCTGAATCCCCCCTCTCCACGCGCCCCCCCACCCATCCATGGCACAACAGATGGCGCCGATGAGCATGGGCGGGGTGGTGCGGAGGCCACAGGCGGGCCACGCGCGCAATCTGGCCGCAATTGCCCCCGCGGCCTACCGCCCCGGTGAGCAGCCCCCTCCGGGGCTCATCCTGCCCAACCAGCGCCCGCCGCGGCCGTCAGGCCCCCCGGGATCCCCCCAGCAGCCGCCCAGACTCATCGTGCCCGGCGGCGAGTCGCGATCCCCGCCGCAGGTGGCGATCGATGACGACGGTTCAATCAACAAGACGCCGTCCAATCGCTACCGCCCGCCGCCGGGCTTCATGGACGAGGAGAGATTACAACAGGCGGTGATGAAGGAGGGCAAGGTGCCCGGGAATGCGGATGCCATGCTACAGCGTGTAAGGGGGGGCGTGGGCAAGTGGCACGAGCGCGCCGCGATGCTGGAGCCGCTGCGCGCGGCGGGGTTCGACGGGTCGGCGCTGGAGGACGCGGCAGGGGTGCCGCGCAAGGAGCAGAGCGTGATGCGCATCGCGGGGGACATCCGGGAGTCGCTGATGGGCGGGGCGATCAGCGAGGAGGCGCTGAGGGCGTACGACGTGGACGGCGCGTATTTCATGCTGTACGAGCTGAGGTTCCTCAAGGCGGAGCAGCGGGCGCGCGGCGCGCAGTACATCGCCGACCACGGGCTCGACCCAAGGGTAGGTGGGGTTGTGGGTCCGCGTGGTTTTTGAAAGTGTGCACTGCAGCAACGTGAAAAGCGATGGTTTGGTCACGGCGCGTGTCTGTGCAGAGTTCAGGTCATCAGGCGGCATCCTTTTTCTTCCAGCAGTAACAGGAACCGCCCAAAGCTTGGATAAGGGCTGCGAGCTGCAGTGTTGTTCATCGCTTGAATGGAGCATCACCGCTGGGCAGCGAGCCTGATATAGCATCCCTTACACTATTAAAACTCCAAAGACGTCCATTGGCAGGTGCCCCATACCCTGAGAGGGCCTACTGTTGCTCATTGGGGATTACTGGGTGGATGCTGGGAGTGCATGTGGATTGGCTTTGTGGGAAGAAACCATGGCCACAAACCATGAAGGTGATGGTTGGGTGTTATAAAACGGAACGGCAATGTGAGACTGTGGGCATGTTTGAAGACTGGTAGCAGGGGATTAATAGCTGTCCATTAGTCTATGATGAATCACACTCATGGCATTGATACTCAGAATGTTGTGCCCATGGCGCAACATGTTTGTTGCCACCTTGTTCCAAGCATTTGCTCTGTGTGGAGATGGTGGTCCCAAAAGGAGAAAGGGGAAGGAAAGAAAAGAACTGGACGTTAAAGAGGAAAAGTAAAGAAAGGATAGGGGAGTTATGACAGGAAGGGGTACTTCTCTTCGTTATCCAGCCGTCTTCCTAAAGGCCACTGACTACAGGTGCCGTCACACAGCAGAACAGTGACATTGACACCTTGCGGCGTTGCTGGGCATGCATGCATCCAAAATGGTTTTCAAAGCAGCTCACCCCACCTGTTGTGTGTGGGGGTGAGCGAGCTGGGCTGCAAACACTGGCCAAATGGATGTGAAAAATGTGCCAGTTCATGGGTGCCAGGATTGTTTGAAGCAATCAATAGTGAACTGGTCCACCATTCTGTAAGCAGAGGTGACTCTTGATAACTGGCTCCAGTGTGTCAGTTGTTGTCGATACCCGGCATCACGATCTCCAGGGTTTGGATTCGTCTGTCCATTCCACACATACTATAGCTGAGAACCCTTGCAAACACACTATTAACTTTACCAACATCAGTGCACATCGAGTCGACGAATGGCCAATC